CCATTAACCAGTAGGTTCTGACCATGTTGCTTTCTGAGCTGCAGAAGAGAAGGCTCAGGAGGGAATCTCATTATCTTATTACTGTCTTCAGCTAGGTAATGAGTGACTCCAAAGCCAAACCCAGACTGCTCTCTGCACAGTGAAAGGCAGACAGAAAGCAACAAGCTGCAGAACAGGAAATTCCTGCCAGGCATGAATAATAAAAGTTCCTCACAACCAGGCTGGTTAAACAGCCAAAGAAACTGCCCAGAGAGGCTGTGGGATCTCCAACCCTGGAGACACAAGAGCCTCAAGTGGACACAGCCCTGAGCCACATAATGCAGTTTCTAAGAGGTCCAACCAAACCACCACCAGGTCTGTGCTAAATTAGAGCACTCTGGACAATCACTTTCTGTGAAATGTTTGCACACCTGAAAGCTAAGTGACTCTGATACTCACCTGACACTGAGTGAAACCACCAGAGCCCAAAGCAGTAATTAACCAAATCCATCTCACTTTCCTGCCCAGCAGTACTCCACACAGCACAGGTGGAATGGAGACAGTGCTGTGTGTCATCACAGCTGTCACTGGGTAACTCACCAAAGTAATCAGAAGGTCCCAGTCTGCCAACTTCCACAAACTCCTCGTTCTCCGACCGACGCTGGAGCACTGCAGCTGTGCCCTGGGATAAATCACAGCAACTCAGCTATTGAATTTCCAGCACCACTCCAAGCACTGAATTCCACACGGAATCAGCTGCTTTGCAGAAATGTTATGATGCCTCGAGTCTAAGAACCACTTGACAGTCCTTGCACAGTTCACTTGACTGCTCTGTAAACACAGCTGCTCCTCCCTCCTAAGCACAAAACATCTGGAATGTTTACATATCCACAGCACTGGCTGCTTCCTGGTTTTCTTCATAACAGCAAGAATATTACAGCATGACTATCAAAACCCCCAAAAGTCTCAGAGAGAAGACAATGACAGCACTAGCAAGACATTCCCAGCTAGCTAGAACAGGTCTCTACCCTGAAAAAGATGAACTGTTTGAGCTAGAGTTTGTTTTTTCCTGGAATTATCAGCAGCAGAACTAAATAGAAGCTACTGCACAACCAGCACAATATTTCTTTAGGAATCCTCTGTAAGTATATTCTTGTTTTGCTTTTCTCTAAGTGGTAGTTTAGGGACAGAATAATAAAGAAAAGGTAAGTTCTGAGCTTTAATTTTGACCTTACTTACCTCCAAGATAATGAAGAACTCATCTCCTGGCTCTCCCTGGACTACAATCTTTTGCCCATCCTCAAACTGTACTGGTTCCAATGCATCAGCCACAGTGAGACGTTCCCACTTGTCCAGAGATTCTACAGAGTGAACAGTTCATTAACACAGAGTCTCCTCAAGGCACAAATTACACTTTTTGCTCTCTGTTTATACAGAGGTCAATATGTTTCTGGCTACATTTTGTGCATCAGCTCTCGAGCCCTGAATTAAGAGCTGTTTGGGAGGGATGTAGAAAGGCAGCACAGGCTCTGCAGCCTGTTGTGCTCAACTACCACAACCTGTAATCAGCATAATGTTGGGTAACAGCTTCATTACAACATGGCAATCTATTCCACTTCAGAACAAAAATCTTCTCACTTACCCAATATAGAGACTTTACTAAGGAATTTCTCATACATATTTCTCTTTCTCAAAGTATTTCCCTAAAGAAAAAAAAAAAGCACAGAAATCAGTTTTCTTTCTTCTTCACGTTTTACACGAGACTTCAAATAAAACTCAAGACAAAAATAAATGTAACCAGACTTGCTGCATCCTGTCTCACAGACCCCAAACCCACAAGATTAAATGGAGATATTTCAGCTGAGCAACGTTCCTGAAGTACTCAGCATTTATTGCAGCCTTATTACACTCTCAGTCCAGTTTAATGCTGCACTGGTATTGTTCTGCTCACTAATGCAAGATTCCCCTTTGCCTGAGAGATGCCTGTTGAATAATCAGCTTTCTGATTACAAAAGAGACAGCAGGATTTGGAATAAATAACTCCAGCAAAGGACAGGCACAGAGGGAAGGTCAGATGAGCAGTGTAAGTTGAATAAACCCAAAAGCATCATTCCAGGTTACACACACAACGACTGGAGCCAACAGCATAAACCACACACATTTTTAGGATGGGACAATACTTGCCATCAGGATCCTTCTGTAGCTGTCTCTGTCAATGCCCCACAACTTCACATTTGTCTTGGCTTTGACTGTTGCAGCACGAGGAGTTCCATAGATGAGGGCGAGTTCTCCAAAGCTTCCTCCCTCCCCAACGCTGGTTGCCCACTCGCTGTTCACGTAGACCTGAAAGGCAACACATGGTGGTGCTCAGAGACACCTCAGGTTCTGCTCTGTTGCCCTTAGAGCACAGGGAAATTCTCACATCTGCACAGATTTGACATTTTCAGGGTTTTGTCAGCACTTCCAAGCCCAGCAGTTTTTCCTTTCATTGACCAAGGGGCTCTGCTCTCCATCACATGCACAGACTCTGCACATGTAAACTCCTGATAGGAAATAACATCTCACAAGGTCTGTCACAGAGCTATGAATTAGCTGGACTGGAAAATAGCAAGCCTGGTTGCTCTTAAGGCCTGTCCCACACCCCAGCTAGACTCCACCTTGCACTTGTAAAGCATTAGTATGGTGGTGGTGGCCAAATCCTTCATTTTCCTACTCAACCCAACTCAGTCTGTGCAGCCAAACTGAGCTGGTAAGGAGCAAAGAGGTGCCAAAGCAAAAGAAGCTTCTACAAGTAAGAACTTAACATGAGAAAAGCCGCTCAAGCCAGAGTCTGTAAAAGAGGCCTACAAATATCAGAGTATTCTTCTGCTAGGAATGAGCATATTGTAAATAAACTACTGCTTACATCCATTTCTCCTTGATCAACAACATAGAAGTTATCACCTTCATCACCTAAAGAAGAAAAAGAAATTGAATATATACTAAAAAGGGTAAATCTCTGCAAACATTCACATTTCACAGAACTCTTGACATCTCTGCCAACTCTGATGTTTGGCCTCTAAGGCTGACAAAGTTTTGCACAGCTTGCAGGGTGAAATGTCATGTTTTGCTGACCTCACACTCCTCCCAACCCTGTGGAAAGGACATCTACTGGTGCCCAGGAGATCAGAAGCAATTCCAGGATTACTGGAAAGGCACTGCACATCCATAAACTGATACAACATTTTCTGCAGAGTCATCAAATGACAATATTCCCAACAGATAATATATGCAAAACCGTACCTCCCTACAACTGTTCCTCTCTTCAGTGTGAGCTGTGCTTCAGGTAACACACACAGTCACTGCAGCCAGACAGTGCTGTGATATTCCAAAGAAACCCCCAAAACCAACAAGAGCACCAGGCCAGAGTGTGCTCATCACCTTCAAATTACTCATCAGTGCAAACACTGTCACTTGCCTTGCTGTATGACAGTCTCTCCTGCAATGTAGGTGACAGGGAACATGGCATCAAAGATGTCACTGAAGAAGAGGACACCAAATTAGACAAAAGCCATACAGACATCACACAGCTGTACCCCCAACCCACCAGCACTTCTCCTGCAGCCTCTGTATGCTTACAGTGACCACTGTGCTGCTCTGCACACTGGGCCACATTTAGCTCTCCTGAAATCTGCACTTCCAGAAGCTTTAAGCCTACCAAGATTTCCTCTTACCTTCTCTCGTTATCGTCGAGGTGGGTGAACAGCACATTCTTCTCAATAGCTTTTGCCAAAGCAGCCATAGTCTTATAATCTTTTGGAATAACCTAAGATATAATCAGAAAAAGCAGCTGATTCATTTTTTCATGACAAATTTCTGCATTTCCCAGGGTAAATAAATGATTCGAACTGCTACAAAACACTGGCTGAGTTTTGCCAGTTTCTTTCAAGTGATAGAGATCCAACCCCAAATATAGTCCATGTCTACAGCCAGTTTGAGCAGAAGGGAAATACAAGCTTGTATTATTTTATGCAACTGCTGAAGCATCATTCCATGCTCAGTTTATAAGTTTTTTGGCAAGAGGACAAGTATCTGTTCAACCTTTTCTGTGGAGAGCAGCAAATCTGCTCTGCCACTAGGCTAAAGGTGATGTTCATAGTATCATAGCATGTTGAGGGGTTGGAATGGAGCTTAGAGATCATCCAGCCCCAACCCCTGCCCTGGGCAGGGATACCAACCACCAGAATAAGTTGCTCAAGGCTCATCCAACCTGGAATGAACACTGCCAGGGTTGGGGCAGCCACAGCCTCTCTGGGCAACCTGTGCAAGTGTCTCACCACCCTCACAGGGAGAACTTCTTCCTACTACCTAACCTAAATTTCCCTCTTTCAATTTGTACTCATTGCCCCTTGTCCTATCACTACAGTTCCTAACAGAGTAGAGTCCCTCCTTCCTTGGAGGCCCTTCAGATCCTGGTAGTTTGCTGTGAAATGTTGTGGCAGCTGTTGAGTAACATTTTGTTTATATATTATATATGTGCATCTAAATATAAATGCCTTCAAAGTCCAAGTAATGCCTAAATGGTGTAATAGTTTATTTCATCCTCCAGTTCAACAGCCACACACAGGTTTGCTTTTCACAGCTGTCAGGACCTAACAGGCTCCAGGAGCTTGGTGGTGTATAACACACCGGATAAAAGGTGGGGATAGATAAACTCTTGGGACAGGAGATGTCATTTTTAGCAATGTCCAAAAATCAGAGCACCTTTCTAACATAAGATGCAGCATCCTCTTCTGTGTAGACTTCTGCGCTGATGGCCCCACGTCTCGACCTGTACTTCACCACAGGGTTCAGAGGAGGAGGAGGAGAGATCTCATCCTCCCTCGAGTCCGAGCGTGACCCAGACTTCAGCTGATTCAACAACTGCTTTGTTTCCTCCTAAACAGGAAGGAAGACATGTTTGTGTCACTTAATCCAGCAAAGCAAAACCAGAGGTTATATATCATGTTCCAGTTTAGTCTGCCAAGGCAAGGGAGCTTCCGGTGTACTGTTATTCCCACATGAAGGCAAACAGGAGGCTGCAGCATCCAAGATCAAAGGCCTTTCAGCCCAGATGGCAGATATGCCTTTCATTCATAACACTCACATCACAATGGTGTTTATTTTACTAAGTCACACTAATAGTTTAATAAACAAGTTGATTCTACTTTCTGCTAGTGTATTCCCCAGGTGATGTAGACATTCTCCAAATGCTCAAGACACTTCCCCAGCTCCCAAGGCCTCAGTTCCTCCCCTCAGCTGTGAGGTGTGAAAGCCTTTTGGGATTTGAAAGGCAGAAGAGCAATTCCTCAGAAATTCGTGTTACATGAGAAGTTTTTGAAACAGGTCAAGGCATGGACCAACTTGATCCTCATTAACCAACACTAATTTTTAGGAGAAAGAAACATGACCACCACGGACAAAGGAGCTGCAGGAAGGATGCTAGAGGCCAAAGGCTTTTTTCTGCTAACCACAGACTGATCAGCTTTGCACAACATTACACCTTTTCCTTATTTCCCTCAGTCACCTCTTGTGCTGCAGTGATCCTACAGAAGAACAAGGTTCTATCAATACCACGAAGTCTAACTTTAACACACAGAAATTTGATTCTTCAGAAGATTCATCTTAATCAACTAAAATCAGATTAAAACCAAACTAGAAACCCCAGAGTCTGAACATTTGCATCGCAACAGCCCAGTTCATACATGACTTCCCAGCACCAGGAACAGGGTTTGGGACATTCTGTAAGAGAACAAGGAGTCACCTGTTCTCCAGGAGCTCCAGCACTGTACAAGTTGGGTTTGTCCCAGTGTCCTTGACCAAGCTGCCCCCAGCCCCAAGCTGCCTCACTCCACTCCGGAGGTGCAGCCAAGCTGCCCCCAGCCCAGCTGGGCAGAGCTGCCTCACTCCACTCCGGAGGTGCACAAGGCTATGGATAACAACACCACTTGGAGGGAAGAGCCATCAGATAACCATTCCCAGAGTTTACATGACACCTCTCCCAGAGCCAAGGAACAAGCACTGCTCTATCTACTTACATTTCACTTCCTGCTGTTTGCCCATTGATAAAAAGGTGCCACATTGCACAATGATGGGAGCAAAATGTATTTTAAAACTTGTTTCTAGCTTCTGATTTTAGAGGAACGAGTCTCAACTGGGATGAAGTAAAAATAGCTCAAGCAGGAGTAAGTATTGGGTTTAAACTGCTTCTCCAGAATGGGCAACACCAACCACAAACATGTTTGTGCACATACAAAACACTTAACCCATAAATAATGACATTTTTGAAGGAGTGAACACAGCTGCTGTATTTTTTTCAGTATCACATGAAATATTAAACATTGTGATCAGAGATTGAGGCACTTCAGCAGCATTTAGTGAGGAGCATTTTTAGATAGAGGCACTTCAGCTACATTTAGTGTATGAAAACACTGTTGGAGAGACTCCCCAGGGCAATGTCCCTCTCAAGGACAAGGAAACTGCACTAACAGAGAAAACACAGCTGGTAACTTCTGCCTGACCTGAGATTTAACATGAACACACTAAAAAGCAGATTGTTAAGGTAGGACATGGACACAGAAACAAGTTCCAGCTGGATAAGAAAATGTATTAACCTGAAATAATCCTGCTATCCTAGACAGTCTGTGTCCACGCTCCAGATTCTCCCTGAATGAGACAAATCATAGAATCACAGAATCATTAAGGTTGGAAAAGAAATCCAAGATGATCAAGTTCAACCGTTGGCCAAACACCACCTGGACAGGAAACCCATAAATCTCCTGATATTCACATCACACACTGCAAGACAAACCTGTGCCACTATTTCATCACTACAGCAGGAGCATTCATTCACCTTTTTTCATTCCTGATACTAAACCACATTCATTACACCAGCAGAGCAGAGAACAATGACAGTAGGATCTGAGGAAAGGGTGGAAGTTGTTATCCTCAGTTACCTTTGCATTTAGCCAATGTTCATGAGAGCAATGTTTGTTCAGGCCTAGAAGCTCCTCAGATCACACAATGGACTCCGTTTGCTCTGGGCTGACCAGGATAACCATTAGCACAGTTTGAGAAACATTCAGTAATGAGGTTAGTCTATTTATTACACTGAAGTGTTGCTCATGTCTTGGAGCTGATGCAGTTCAAAGTTTTCAGTGTCAGTGATCATTAACTGTAAACTTCATTTTTTCCTGACAATATCTATTAAGCCCATGTAAATTACTAGAAGAAATAGTAAAGTAATAACACTCCACATACACATATTTAAGCCTATCAGGTACTGAAGGCCTTCACAATTTCAGAATTAGTTTGTACACTGTATAACCTGCTAATTGTCATTACACCAGGCACAGCCTCAACTTCTGGTTAATTAGTATTTCATCTATAACAACTCTCCACATATTTAAAACCCCCAAAACATTCAGTGGCTAAAAAAGCATTTTGGAAAAAGCTCTGCCATAAATCCACAACTGCACAGTGTATCCTTCAAAACCACCTTGTTTTGCAAAGGAAACTCCCAGGAAAATGGGGAAAAATACTCAGCTATGCCCTGTGGAGGCAGGGCAGGAGGTAGAACAGCTACAGTGACTCCATGTCAGTCACAATTCCTAATTCCAGCTTTCTATCTATGTCTGACATCCACAAAATGGATCACACCCAGTATTTCAAAGAGGCACTGATTCCAGAGGACAGCCACATCCAATATCCAGGATCCACCTGGCAGGCTGCAGTAATGATCTCCACATCCCATTCCCATAGCTCAAACTACATCACACAGCCCAGCCCAGCACTGGAGAGATATTAGCATGTATTGGTGCTACCAGACCTGTCTGCACAGCAAAACACAACAGAGGCCTCAATACCCCCCAAACAGATAAAATAAAACCATTTCTACAATCAATGGGTGGTAATTAGATTCATCTAACAGCTTTCCTCACCCAGAGGAGGATATTTGAATTCCTACAGTAGCTGTACCAACCTTGGAGGCAGCAATTTGAATGTTTCTGAACAGAAATTCCAAAGCATGTTTAAATGTCTTCAATGTATTTTAATAACATGCCAGTGAATCAGCTCTGTTTGTGTGCAGTGGAAGAGATGACTTGTCAGGAGAACAAGAGAGAAAATAGCAACCTCAACTTCACTTTTAAATGGTGTTCCCTCAAAATTCCACCTTAAAACACCCAGACTGGATGAAACTCAGGCTGAGATACAGTCACACAGCTGAACACACAAAGCACATTGAGAAGTTGCTCTGCTTTATTGAAGATGGAACAGACATGACTTGGAGAAGGTGAAGTAGATTCAATTTCAAACATTTTTGCTCTACCAGAGCTAAGGACTGGGTTGGAGTTGGTTAAGAATAGCCCTGAGCATTTGTGCTTTCCAGCCAGGGATGTTGGAGTTTGCTAACCAGCACAGGGTGTTCACTGTTCTGTTACCTGATAGCTGGGAAGGTACAGCATCACCTGGTTAAACTCAGACCAAGGAGTTGGGCTGAGGGAGGAAATCACCCAGAGAATCTGCAGCAGTCTTTACACTCAAAAAGCAAAATGCTACAGTCCCACTTGCAGCCACAGCTGCACTAGTGGGTATGGACAGCCCATGAGAAAATACCCTGATCAAAACTCTAAGAGCAGTTTAAGGGAAAAAATCATCATCTAACCAGTTTTATTTACAGCTTCCTCATAGGTTGATGGAGAACACAGAGAGCCAATTTGCACCAGAATAAAATCATCAAGAATTATCCCATTCCAGAATAAATGTCATTAAATTTGGAGCTGGATTTGTTGCCTTGCTAAAACCTAAATCAAATTTCCTTTAATCTTAAATACTCCATGTTGGTCATAATTCCACCACACAAAAGCATCCAAATAATCCCATTTTATATCCCCACATATGGATTGGTTTACCATTTATTCTGAGCACAGCAATGCAGTTTACTTTGCTAAATGTTGCAGATCAATACCTGTGATGATGTGTTAAAAATTATCATCCTATCAGCAGTGAGAAACTTGAGAAGCCAAGAAGGAGAGATGTTAACAGGCAGGGACAATGCATTTTTTTAACCACCTCACTGCTGCTGATACTCTCTGTGAAAGGACTCAGCTAGACACACCCCAAAAAGAAAAATCAGACATATTACAGAGCTCTGGTTCATTTACTAAGCAAAATGTTGCTCAAACACGTTGTGAGTTACAGGAGGTTCGTTTGCAGCCTTTGCTCATTTTCTAGTGTTCACCTCGAACACTTCCATTAAAATACAATTTCCACTGTACATATTTATGATCTCTAGTGTTAATTCCTTTCTTCTATACATCAGCAGTGAGTAACCTGCTAGAATAAAAAAAAAATAACAAAAAAAACCCCAAAGAAATATCTAACTCCCACATACAAGCACTGAAAGCAGCACCTGCAAATAAACCACTACTGAACAAGGTCACTGCTGCATCATCTACTAATTCCATGTTCTGAGTAGGGATGTTGTATCCAACCTTTCCTCTGCCAAAGCCATTAAACTTCCCATTCCCACAGCAGCTTCTTCCTCTACCTGATTAGATAGCAATACACCCAACGAACAGTGCAAATGAATGTGAAATCAGTTTCAACTACTAATGGTTCCTTTCCCAAGATCCCAGAACAACAACAACAAAGACACCTGGAGGACAAATGCGAGAGGAACAACAAAGCACAACTCCAAACTCCCAAGAGAAGGCAGAAACAGACTTGTTCTCCTAGAGGTCTGGAATGCAAATACTTCCATTTGACTTAACCAGGCCTGGAGAACAACACTGGCTCTGCCATCCAATTACTGAATACCAGTTGTCTCAATTCAAGAAACCAAATGGCATCACCACTGTCCAACTAAGGTCAAACTCCACAGTGATCATCCAGCTACAGACACAATCCTGTATGCTGCCTATCAGCTGCTAGGGGTAAACACTGGATTGGGATTACATCTACATCCCCAGCTGGATAAGTCTCCTTGGCAGCTTATGTTGTGCCCTACATGCTTTGGTATGACAGAGGTGCATAAACCAATGGAAAACAGGATTTGTTTTCCAAACCCACAACTTCCAATTTCAACAACCAACACAAACACAGCTCAAATCTGCAGCTCAACCCCCAAAATCACAAAGACAGATCAAAATTCAGGTTGTTCTGCTTCCTTCCCTCCCAGTCTGTGTTTTTACCTTCTCCAATCTTTCGAAGTATTCTCTGATGAATCCCATGGGCCTCTCAGGTCTCACTGTGCATAACTGTACAATGCAATCCTTCAGAAGCTGCTGGATGTTGTGTTTCTGGATGTAAAGCTCACATTCCCGAAGGCTGCGCTCCTCCTCGCTGCTGCTGCTGCTGGAAGCTGCCATGGCTGAGGGGAACAGAAAGAGAAGGTTAAATGACTAGTGGAAATAAAGATGCTGCTGCCTGATAAAGTCAGGTATGTTATTCCGCATTATCTTACTGCTATCACAGCATAAAACTGCCTTTACCTGTCAGAACAGTACCTAAGCTGAACTGTGAAAGAAAAACTGAGAAATTCTTTAGCAGCTGGAAAGAAATCCAAAATCTGAGGGCTCTACAGCCACAGAAGGAAAAGCACTTGGTTGAGCTAAAAAAGGCTTTAACAAGTCAAGCCCTGTGAGCACCCCAAACCAGGGAAGCTTCCACCTGAATTTGAATTTGCTGCTGCCTAAACTGAGTGTTTCACAGGAGTGAAGGCTCAGTGCAGAGAGCTGTGTGGTCTGTGTGGGGTCAGGATGGCCAGGAGGGAGGTGGAAATCTGAGAGCACAGTATGCCAAGTATTCGGAAGTGAACCACGTCAGCGTCAAAGCCAAAGCCTCAGTAAATGTCAAGGCAGAGTCCACTCACGGAAGTTATGGAATTAGAGGCATCACACCTAAAAGCTCCTCCAGTTTAAACTGGTCCATATTTCATAACTATCTCCATGGATACACTGCAATCCCAGAAATATTTCTTCAGCTGTAAATAATGAAGAGAACACCTTTAAACGTATCTGTTGAGTGCCAGGTTTGCAGAAGGCTTTGCAGAGCCAGCTGAAATGCTTCCAAAAATGCTCCTTAGCAGGTTTTTTCCCCTCTCTCAGGTTTGTGTTGGGTTTGCATAGGCAGGTTTTGGTCTGGGGGGGCTACAGGGGTACTTCTGGGAGGAGCTGCTGGATGCTTTGCCCATGGCCAACAGAGAATGCCAGACAGCTCCAAGATATATATATCAACTAGATACTCTAGTGTTTTTCAAAGGTATTTTTCCTGCATATTCCCAAAGTGGAGCTTCCCTGGGTGCTCAAGGCAGAGCTTTCCCAATACCCCCAAGGCAGAGCTTCCCTGATGCCACTGGCTAAGGCTGAGCCCATCAGTGACAGTGGTAGTGCCTTTGGGATAAGGGACACGAAGAGTTGGCTTTATTTCTCATTACCCTTCTCTGATTTAATTGGTTTAATTTATTACCAATTTCTCTGAATTGAGCCTGTGATGGCAATTGGTGACTGATCTCTCCCTGCCCTTATCTCAACCCATGAGTCTCTCCTCATATTTTCCCTCCCTCGTCCAGTTGAGGAAGGAAGTGATGGAGCAGCTTTGGTGACCACTTAGTGTCCAGCCCAGATCAACCCACCACAAGGTCATAGAACCATTTTACAACATATTTTTACATATATATCAACATTTCAAGTTATTTTTTTCATAAAGCAACTATCCCTGAGAGAGCCAAAGACACAGGAAAGAATTTCTGAGGGCATTTTTGATGAAATATAAAGAAAGTTACCTGGTACAGGGACTGTGGCAACAGCTTATTAATAGGCAGTAAGGTATGTTGATCCCAGGATCAGCTTTTGAAAGGGAAAAAATGGATTCAGTCAACATGATTCTGAGAACATGACGAGCCACTGAAGTCACTTCATGGGTTTTATCCTGCTGAGGCAGCAGTGGGGAAACCCAAAGCACAGAGGGAATACCACACTGTGTCCCCTCTGGATCCTGCTGCTGCAGATTACAGGAGGCTTGGAGTTAATAGGGAATTGCCAACACTTCAAACAGGTTTCATTCTTGTCACACTTAATCCCTGCTCAAGCAGACAGACACGTGTATTATGCATTGCATAAACACTGTGCGTGGCCTTCACGGGCTGAAAAACTGCTGCAAACTTCTCCAGTTACTTCTTTTGTTGTGACAGCTCACAGCGAAGGTCAGAGCTAATTAACAGCCCTGCAGATACCCGAGGGGCTCCTGCAAATTACCATCTGCGGGCAGGCACGGGCTGGGGCCACACCGGGAGGGCAAGGGCAGAAAATAACACAGGCAAAATGAAATCTCCAGGATTTCTAGAAGGGGTTTTTTTCCTGCCTATTCCCAAGGTGCTTTCCTGAGACCCCCAGGGCAGAGCTTTCCCAATCTCCTCAAGGAGGAGCTTCTCTGAGAACCCCACGGTGGTGTTTTCCCAATCCCCCCAAGAAGGAGATTCCCAAACCCCCCAAGGAGAAGGTTCCCTGAGCCCCCAAGGAGGAGATTCCCTGAGCCCTCCAAGCAGGAGCTTTCCCAATTCCCCCAAGGAGGAGATAACCTGAGCCCCTAAGGAACAGCTTTTCCAATCCCCCCAAGGAGGAGATTCCCAAACCCCCCAAAGAGGAGGTTCCCTGAGCCCCCAAGGAGGAACTTTCCCAAACCCCCCAAGGAGGAGCTTTCCCAAACTCCCCAAGGAGGAAGTTCCCTGAGCCTCCCAAGGAGCAGATTCCCTGAGCCCTCCAAGGAGGAGCTTTTCCAACCCCTACCAAGAAGGAGGTTCCCTGAGCCCCCAAGG